TTCATGAAGATAAGAATGACTGATGGTAATACCAGAGAAAATAAAAGAATATTTGCCTCGACTGTAATTTAACATTTTAGCAGAAAAATCATGCTCTATGATCCAAACTCACCAAACAATGAGAAAACAAATTCCTTTTCGTAAGTATTAAACTCTAGCTTCCTGAAATCTTCTCTGGAGAGGTGTTCCCACACACTGACCCTGGGTGGCCGTACTGGAGGATTTGGTGCGAAGGGCACAAATTCTCCTTCTGGTGTCACAAACTTTTTATCTTCGTACTTACACTTGCAAGTGCCATGGCAGAAGCAACCTGGAAAATATGGCGGTGGATCATATTCATACGGGCGAAAAGGAAATGGACTCGGTGGTTTGTAGTTTTTCTTCTCAGGTGAGATAGGCGAGCTCTTCTTCATCACTAATGATTCAGCTGATTAATTTCTGAAACCACAATACGACCAGCCGAGCTAAAAACAGTATATACCTTTCATACCAGATGAGCAATTGTTATGATATTCATTTTCTATAGGAGGCGGTGATATTTTTATAAATCATTAATTAATAATTTGTTTTCAGGATTCTTATTTTTGTCATATGGCTTATCTATGCATAAACAATTAACGTGCTTTAGACAAAGTTATGTAATGCTGCAGAAAATCAATTTAGAGAATTCAACGGAAATACACGTTTCGGAGTCCCTTGATACCAAGGAAGTGTGTATTTGTGTGTGTGTTTCTTTCTTTTTTTCTCAAAACGTCCGTCCTTCAGTTCATCAATCCTGTGAACAAAACTAGCGCCTAAGCTATTTGAAGCTCGACTGGAAGCCTGGGACATTTTCTAAATTTTCTCAAAAATGGCTCCATTTTTTTCTCTTTATATTACTTGTAACAATAGAGTGAAATTCGAGCGTAAAGATGACTTAGGACCCATTTTTACTGTTCACTCTGAATTTTCGAAAATTACAAAAATCGTATTTTTCGGTATCTTATTAAAACTACATTATTGAAGATAGCGGTTTTCACTAACCCGTCTACATACGTATATACGGAGTAATATAATTGGTACAGGTAAAGTTATGCTGCGCGAAAAAACGGCGGATTTTAAACAGAAAAAATTACAGCCGTGCTCTCACAAGTGGATATATCCAGTTGCTAAATTAAGAAAAAACATCCTCTTCCACGTGGTGTAGCTAGAATCCTTGTTTTGTGGGGCTTTGATGCCGAAAAAAACAATAGACGGCAAAAGTTCATCCGTCTGTCTGTGAACACCACTATCGCCTAAACCATACGTACGATTTGTTTTGAAAATTAATATTCTCCGATCGATCTAGCTCCACTCAAGGTGCCGTGATTTTTAAATACTTTTTTTCAAAAATTGGGGTACTTTACCTAGGCTTTTTTTAACTTTTCTCAAAAACGGCTCCAAGTTTTTTCCTTAAATTTCATGTAGAGTAAAATACCCTTACAAAGGTGGCATAGGTCAGATTTTTATAATTAACTCTGGATTTTCGAAAGTTGCAAAATTTTGAATTTTTGTGGCGTTTTCCTTCAATTACAAAATTGAAGATGAAAGATTTTTCCTTCAAATACAAAATTGAAGATAAGAGATTTTTCTTTCAAATTAAATAGTGCTAAATGTACTCCATGAGATGACATATACGGAACACCATTTTGCTGTATTCTTTTGTTTTTTAAAAAATTACAAAAATGTATTTTTTTTAAAGATCTCTCACAGCATTAATATGCATATTTCTAGCAATTTATAAACACTATTGTATTCGTCAGTTAATGTGCTTCCAATTACTTCTAATAAAGGTTTGGAAAATATTTCTTTGAAAAAAGTTTCAAATTTTGAATTTAAGTAGCTCTTAAGCGCCGTTTTCATGAAAATGGTTCCAAATTTTTCACAGGAAATTCTCATTTAAGGGCAATGTCTTACTGTTCTTTAATATTCTTAAAATAATATTTCCATTCTATTAGGAACTCCAAAAAAAATAAGAAAATGTTTAAATGTTCTTTGGGCAGTGATAGATGACAGCTTGCAAGAGTACATGTCAAGTCCAAATAGCTAGCTGAGACCAAAGAAAATAGAAAACTAATATAGGAAAGACTGTGCCATTCAGTGGCACCACTAGTTTCAACTGAAATTTGTTCACCACAATTAATTCTTTAATTAATGTCTAGTTCATTTTTCAAAAGTGTAAGTAGTTTTTACGCAATTTTGAGTAAAACTTTCTCACAAAGGCTCCAAATATTTTCTTTAAACTTTTTCTATAGATACTGTTAAATGAACTCAATAATATGACCAAAACTTAATTTTGATGTATTTATTTGAATTTCCAAAAATTATACAAATATAACTTTTTACTTTTCAGTAGAAAAACTTGTATTGAACAGTATAAACAAAAAAGTGAATAAATTAAGTAGTTAAATTTAGAGAAAAATATTCTCTAACACGTCATGTAGCCATAATCCATGTTTAGTGGGTCCTTGATACTGAAAAATCGAATGACAGAGAAAGTTTAGCTCTCCGTCCGTCTGTGAACGACAGAATAATAATTTTATGAAAGGAAATAGATTAAAGGAAGGTAATAAATTTTAACTTAACACCAATGACAGTTCTATACATTAAGAAGGATTAATAGTTGATTATGGTATTAACAAATTTTTTAAGTGCACTTCAAATGTAATCAAGGTAGCTTGTGTGAAATTATTCTTCGTTTTCTGTATTATGTTCTGTGAATACTATAATATTTAGACTTATTCATGTTCATTTCATTTCTAAAAGTAAGAAATGATTACTCTTTCTGACAATGGAAATAATGCATATAAGCACAAGAGGCGATTTTTTTAAATTAGACTTTTACAAGTTATAATGCAGTTTTTGATATGGCAGAAATTACAATATTTTAATATTTCATCACTTGACTATTTCTAAACAGGCAAGAAAGTATGTGGTATTGTAGCACCTCCAGTTTGAAACATTTCTCACGCTGTTAATATTTACATTATCGTCAATTTGTATAGATAATTGCACTTGTGAGTACAAGAACTTGAAATGATGTGTAATAAAGCTTCTCAAAAACTCTAAACTTTTCTGTGAATTGAGCTTAAAATTCCGTACTTTCATACATGCTGGAATGACATTTTCTCATAAACTGCTCCAGATTTGTTCTTTAAACTTTTTGTAAGAATAATGCTAAATGCTCTTGATGTCAATGCTATTTAGATTATTCTTTTGATTTTTTTCCAAATTAAATGTAACAACAACAAAAAATATCATGTTGTTATTGAGAATACGGACATTCTTTTTGTACATTATTGCATATGTGAATGTAAGTGCCACAAATGATTTTCAATTAAGTTTCTCCAAATTCATTCATTTTCTGTGAAAATGACCTGGAAATTGCACATTTTGAAAATGTTCAAACAATATTTTCTCACAATCAGCTCCAAATTTTTCAACAAAAATTTTCATATAGGACCAGGTTTTACTCTTCTTTAATAATCTTTATTAACAATAATTAATAACATATTTTGATTCCACCATTAGAGGACTGAAAAATGAAGAAAATGTGCAAAATGTCCTTTAGAGGGCAGCTGGGAAGAAAGGGGGAGGAGGGCACAACTGGAAAAGCAGCCCAGACTAAATGGTTTAGAAAACATTGTATAAAATATCCCTGCCACTATGTAGTACTAGTTGCTCTACTATATGTATGTTCTGTGTTGTTCCTCCTCCTTCCTCTTTACCTATTTATTTCCTCTTTATTTCTGTCCTTCTTACCTATTTATTTACATTCTCTCTATTGCTCTAGTGCTATATGTTTACACAAACATATACACTTTTGAATAAACAGTGACAAAGAGAACCAGAAAGTGCAAAGCTAGAGAAATTTATTTATTAGCCAGAGAAATTTATTTACGCAGGCATGGTTGTGAGAAGCATGTCCCGTACAGGAAGTGCATGCATCTCGGGTAGAAGGAGTCTCTTAAGTAATTGGTACTTCACGAAGACAAACATTCAATTTCAGAGGTATCAGCATTTACTTCCTTAAAATTGTATGCAAAGGAAATTTCAAAAAGTACAAAATAATATATATTTGATACCAAATCTTGATCAGTGATCAGTATACAATTAAACGTCTTTGTTTCTTCATGCATGTCCGGAAGTTGTGTTACAAAAATTTCCCAGATTCCATGACAAATTTAATGAAGAATGGCAGATCCAGTTTCTCTGGAAGAAGAGAAAAAAGACTCCAATACTATAAGAAAATGTTTGTCAGTTATAATTGTGTCATTGAAATGTTAAGTTTCAGTAATCTCAACATTTCTCATTAAACTGTCACAAATCACAGAAGTATATAATAATAAATTTAAAATTGTTGATTACATTTTATGCTGATAAATCATTACCAGAAAAAAGAAAGGGACTTTTGACATTTTGTCTTTCAAAAGAGAAAAAAATCAAGTCAGAGACAATAAAGGGAGGGACTGTCCTAGCTAACAAGGGATGTTTGGATACCTTAATACCACAGCTACTTGATTGTTTTTCATTTGGACAACTCAAAAGAAAAAAATGTTTAACATAAATTAGAGATAATAAGTTGCAAATAAGTTATTTGAAAATATTTTATTACAAAAAAGTTTTTGATATATTTTTATATTACAGTGACATAATATTACATACACACTCAATATTATACAAATTCCAATGTAGGTGTAAGATAAGTATAAAGAAAGCATTGATTTACTGAGAAAATGTCGCAATTTTACCACATTTATTGTAATTGATACGAACATTGGAGATAAGTATACTGCTTTATGAAAACAGCTTAATCCACAAAATTCAATAGTGGTAAATTACAATTGGAAACATAGACTAAATAGATATTAAAATTACTAGTTCATGAAAAGTATTTTGTATGAATTCTAGACAATTTGTCCTCTTCAATAAGCTAGACATTTTTTGTAACCAGAAATAGCATTTAATGTTCTAATTTTTTCACTTATTACATTTATGCAGCTTGTTAATCACTTTAATCAATTTGAACACTCTGTAGCAATGCAAATTATTATTTTCATTCAAAATATCACAAAGTCAGTTTTATGAAGGTGGCAATTTAACCATTCTCTCACTAACTGTCCAGAGTTCTTCAGCTACTTCTGCCTTGAGAATTTTTTTTGGTTTGTATTGTCTGCAGTCTCTGTAGATAAGACCTGTTTCTCCATTAACTTCCTCAGATGTAGCACAGTGCAATACTGTTTGAGCTCCCTGTAGAAAAAACAACAACAAACATTTGTTTCAGAAATGATACTGTTCATTAATGTTGTGGTTGTATAAAAATACTGTATTATATAAAATTCTTTGAAATTATCTGCAATTCCTACAAAAAAATACATACGCTATCTTCAAAACAAAAGATGTCACACAATGTTTACTTCATTAATCTAAAGGTATAGACTACAAACTGTAACATGAACAGTGTTACTGTGAAAATAGAAAATAAAAAGTCAACTGCTTTCAATAAATAAAGAGCATACAAACAATGTTTCAGTTAGATACTGAAAGAATGGAGTAGATTTCTGAATTTACACTTTAACAGCATGTCTCAAATTGTGGAAAGATGCCAAAGGCCCAAAATGGTAGCTGCATATATTTGTTTCAAAATATAAAACTTTTTATTTTGAATATATAGATCTTGTTTTTGGATTTCAGTTCTTTAGAAATATGTACATTGCGTTTTCAAATTAATATTTCTTCACACTTACTTGTGAAGCTGTTCTCATGAAGATGAATGCCACAGGTGCTAGCAAGATGTAATGATACCATCTTAATGTTCGACTTCGAAAAAGGCGAGTGTAGGTGAAACCAGGGCAAACAGCAAACACAGAAACACCAGAACCATCAGCTCGCTTTGCAAGTTCCTTGCAGAAGAGTACATTGGCACACTTTGAACTGGAATAGCCTGGAGGCATAGCTGTGGGGATGAACTTATCCACACTGTTCTCATACAGAGAAGAGGTGACAATAACTACCCTGAATATAAAAACACAATTTAGTCACTATTAGGCATTTTATGATTTACTTAAACTTAAATTACAATGGGGAAATTTAAACTAAACTTTAATATATTTCAACATGATTTCGTAAAATCTCCAAAAACTTGAATGTACTATTTAGTTCTCTCCTCTATGAATACATCAGTACATACTCTCCTGTCTGAACTGATTAGTACATTAGTATATTATTGCAATATTTATCAATGGTCAAAAACGAAAATGAAATATTGACATAATTAAAGATGACTATATTATGCACTTTTAGCCAATGTTTCTAGGTCTTTCAATTATTTTTCTCTCATCAGTAAGCCCAATAGCATACCTCTCACTAATCAAAATCAATAAAAAACTCTATGCTGAAACTAAATTTTGACAGGATTATGAATTTTCTATAAAGGCTAAGGATTTTTTTGACAAAGTACCTCTTCAGATTAGAACCCAAAAGATAGACCATAGAGAAAATTATAACTGAATGCTCAACAGTTTTGTGCAAATATGTTTTTAGTATTTGGCTATGTACACAGATTTCTTTAAACACCAGACAATTAAAAATAAATTAGAATTCATTTGAAAAAACTTTGGTAGTTGTTATTACTTTACACTTATTTCGTGACTAAGTCAACAAAGATACCTGCTTCCTTCTTAAGTTCTTGAAATATTTATTTCTACTGTTATTATACCTGCTTGGGGCAGATTCCTTCAGTTTGGGCAGGAGTAAGTTGGTGAGAAGAAAGTGACCCAAATGGTTTACTCCTAAATGAATTTCAAAACCATCTGTTGTTTTTTGTTCTGCACTCAGAGGAAAATAAACTCCGGCATTATTGATTAAAACATGTATCTTGGGGAAATCTTTGAGAACTGAATCTGTAAACTGTCTTATAGATTTCAGTGAAGCCAAGTCCAATTGCATAGGGATCTGGAAAAATGAGCACATGCAGTAAGAAAAATATCTAATGCCATGTCTACCCTCCCAGATTGTAAAAGGAAAACAATAAATATAAAATAAAGACATAAATATAATAAATCAAACAATTGCACAAGTACAAAGAAGGATGTTTCTTTTGGATGTTAGGATACACAGGAACTTGCATTAGGTAATATAACAAGCAGTTAAATTTAATGTAATGTAATGTAATTATCAATTTGTTTAAGTCACTACATGATACAGAGCAAAAATTCAAGAATGGTTTCAAGGCATTGAGCAAGATGCTGAAACGATAATTCTCTAGGAGCACTCTCACTAGCACAGTGGATCCCAGGGACTCATAACTTCAGGAGAGACTTAAATCAGCAGAGATTTTGAGGGAAAATGTTAGGAAATTAATCAGAATCAACTAGCGCCGTTTTTTAAAGCTCGATCAAAGAAAAAAAATATGAGTCAGTTTTGAGAAAATAATAGTTTGAAAATTGTCAATATTTACGCGAAAACTACTCATATTTGCGAAAAATTGAACACAACCTTATTTAAAGCACTATCATTGAACAGATTTTTTCATAAAAATTGTTGTAGGGAGAGGACGAAAACATTTTGAACTTTTGCAATTTTCGAAGGAGTCGGATAAGGAGTCGTTTTTGAGAAAATTTAGAAAATGTCGTTGGAGCTTCATGTAAAGTAGTCCCCAAAATCAAAATATCCTTAGAAATTTGCAGAACCTCGAGTTCGGCTAGATCGAACAAGGAATATCAATTTTGGAGAAAATCGTCTGAAAGATTTAGGTGCAAACGTTGACCACGGACGGGCAGGCGACAATTCGTAGGATTTTTCCAGAATTAATATTCTCCTATCAATATCTGGCCAGACTCGTAGCACTGCGATTTTGAAAAGCACCCTTTATATATCGGGGGTACTTCAAAGCCCCCGACATTTTGAAATTTTTTCTCAAAAATGGTCTCAATTTCCCCCTCTTAAATATCTTTTAATATTAGAATGCAATACTCTTATAAATATGTTACCTCTGAATTTCGAAAATTGTAAGTTTGAAAGTTTTTGGATCTCCCCGAATTACAATATTATTGACGATGGAGATGTTTCAGCAAATACAAGTTATTATGCACAATTAAGTTCTTAATTAATATTTGTCTTTTTTAATATTAGTATTTCAGAGTGATTTTGAGTAAAATATGGGCAATGGTAGTAATAAGATTTTCTTGAAAGAGCTCCAATTTTTTTCTTCGTCTTTTTACGGATAATACTAAATGCACCGAATAACCAATTCTGTTTTAATGTATTCTTATGATTTTTCAAAAATTACCCGGACAGCCAAGTTAATATTCTCAGGCTGCGGAAGCCTACGCTCTCAAACCACATGATAGGCCGTGAATGCAATAAAAAGCAAATTTTAGTTATATTATTTGTTTTACCAATTTATTATACAACAAAGCCTAACACGTTTACAATTAGTATGGTCAAATGATCCGGCCTCTTGAGACGGAGCTTGGAGCAGGTGGGCCCAAGTACAAGGACATAAAAGGTATAGGTTAACACCTAATGTTTAACTTTGTGTTTGGGGCGTGGGAGAGAAAGTACCCTCGTCAATACTATAATTCTTTTATGATCTCTTGTTTTAACAGGCATCCTGTGTGCAATCCGTGTGTTTAATTGAGGAACTGGATGGCAAACTCAGGATAATGGTACGGAGGAAGCTGCTACTCAGAATAATGCCACGAGCAAATCTGACAAGGTACAGGACTAAGATAGGTCTATGCTAGTGGCGGCTTCACCTGAAGAGTTCTCCCCATGAAGGGCAGGGTTCCATCAGGGCGGCGTCTTCCCCAGAAAAAACAACATTCGAAAAAGTTGCAGAAGATCTTTGTATCTTTCTTTATCAACGTAAAATATGTCTTAGATAAGGATCAAAATCTCGAAACGTGCAAATCGGTTGTACATTACATGCAGTTTTCCCCGTCCAAGAAATATTTTGAAGAAGTAAAATGTACGTGATAGTTCGGACATACATGTCGCCCCTCCTAATTTGCAACCCATCGGCCGCAATTGGTCTAGGCGATATTCGGGGTGCGCGAAGTTATTCACAACACACCCCAGAGGAACAGAGATATCGTGGGAATATCTGGTAGTCTTTTAAACGCCGCAGAAGAGAATAGGAAACTAAGTAGTACGAGAAATAATTTTCCGTGAAGGTTAATGGCGCAGAATTATTCTGTGCCAATCTTTACAACCACTAATTCCGTTATTGTTGATTGTTCGACGTACCTTATAAACCTCCAGCGTTTGATATGCATATTGATGATGTCGAGAACGGATGCAAAAATATTGATTAATAATGGGGCCACACCTTAATGGATACTTTATCGATTTAGGATCATTTTTAATTTTCGGTAGTTTGATTCCAGGGAGTTTTATTATGTTTTTTTCAAAAAGGGGGTAAGTCAAAGAAGTTGGGTTTAAGGAAGCGAACTACGGAAGCAAACTGCGGCGCTTCGTAATGTAGTAAAAATCTGAGATGCGCTGACTCAGCTAATCAATAAGCAGAAGTCTATGATTATTGATGAGTGTGCAACGCTTTGGCCTCAAGTAACGAAAACAATGACGAAGTTAAACGTCTTTGAACGTCCGGTCTGTAACGATTCTAAATTCGATGAAGAAATTGCGCGTATAACTCTTAAATTGCTTTTGGTTATGAAAGCTGTAGATATCAATATATTCTTTTCAACATTAGAATACGATTAATACTGATAATTATGTATTGTTTCTAGTTATGCGACTATTCTAAAAATAAAACGATTATTCTCCTGTTCTCCCGTCATCCCAAAGAAAGTTAATTTAAAATAGGATCTACGCAGCGCGCTCGTTTGGGGATAACTTAACGTTTGACATTTCTTGCTCTTGGCATTAAACCGATGTTGGCGAGGGCCCTCTTAACAAAGAATTTAACTAAATGTTATCATTCAATTGATTCGTAAATACTATTTAATTGACAAATTATTTCAGTGATGCATGAATCTTGTTTGGCGAAAGAAGCGTGGAAACGTAACGTTTATTTCTAACAATATCTGGAAGGATTACAAAACATCAGCAACAGCGAAAAGTCAATTGCGGACCGTAGGAGGTGATGTTTCCCAGATGTAGGCAGAGGGAGCATATGCAAAGGGGTAGGGCAAGGGTAATCGGGTCGCAGTGACCGAAAGCAGAGCAGGGGGCGTGGGGTGAGGGATGCACCGCCCAGGTTTTTCGCACGAAGAGGATGTGTGAGGACCAACAGAGTGACTGGGAGGGGAGGGGCACAACAGGGTAGCGGAAGGGGCGGGAGGCAGAGGGAAGCAAGCGTGAGCTTGTGAAAGCTACGGGAGCAGTGGTGCGTGAGTCCATGTCGGTGGAGGGGGGAGGTAACAATATGGGCGGGGGCGGGGGTCGACTCAGGAGCTGTGCGTTGCGGTATGTGTGAGGCAAAGGGCACGGAGGCAGCGGGTTGCGGGAAGCGGCGAGGGGGGATACGCGGCCGCGGGCTACTTCCCGCGCGATGTCGCGGCTGCGGATGTCGCGCACAGCCTCCTGCGCGCGCCCCATGTCGCGGCACGCCAAAATGACGCGCGCCCTGCGCCGCGCCAGCGCCCTGGCAGTCTCCAGCCCGATGCCCGAGCTGGCGCCCGTCACCAGAAACACCTTGCCCTCCAGCGACGACGCATCCCGACAGCGACCCCACGTGTACTCGCGGTACTTGCGGAAGCACGCCAGCAGCACTGGGATAAGCACGTATACGGCCGGGTGCACCATTGCCTCTTTTCTCCTTTAAGTTTTCAGTAAAGCACGTTTGTATGGCACTCCCTGCGACGTCCGCCCACGACGGTACGTCGATCCGTCCAAAACAGCTGACCGGCTGCTGCTGCTGCCGCAGGCGGATGCCGCTGCGCGTTTGTTTGCAGGTTGGTTCGATGCACTTGCGCGAAGCAGCGCTACGAGCGAGGCCAACGCGAACTACTGCGCTGCGTCGGCCGAGCCAAGTGCCGGTAGACAATCGACCCGCGCTGTCATGTTGGAATGATCCACTCTCCTTTGACCAATACCTGTATTTCGAATGATGACACTGACAACTAAAAAAGATTGTCATTTTTTGTTAGGTCATTTGGTCTGTGGAATTCTAAAGATATGAATGAAAAGTAAATTGATCCAATAATTTCTAATAGTTGATTGTTTACAATGGTTTATTAAAGAACATTGACAATGAAGAAAGATTGAATTATCCTTCTATTAACGTTATATTTTATTTAGTAGCCATGCCATACTTACTTCTGATTCAATCTCGTTCAAGTTCTAATATGAGGTTTAGTTGACAGTAACGTAGTCATTGACAAAGTATTCATATAGGTCACCAAACTAATTTTCTAATATCCCCCCCCCCCTATGTCACATACAGTTTTTACTGTTTTTTGACTGAATAAGTCTAATCTAATCTCACTGGTGCCATTAACGGTTATTTATTTCAAAGAAATTGGCAAACTTCGCGTAATGTGTGACCCATCACCTTACGATTACAGCGAAATTAAAAAATTGAAAATACCTCAACGTAAATACTAACTTCACATTTTGCATGCACAAAAATAATCATATTCAGTACCGTGCATGGTGTTAAAGCAATAAAAGTTCAGAATATATTTCAGTGCATTTCTCGCTCTATGTAAAATGCCCATTCACCTCTTTGACATTGAATGGACCAGTATGTTGAATGTTTATAGACTTTCATTCCTAGAAAGGGGTGTCCCTTAGACGTGATTAGCTGAAATTAAGGTAGGCATATTCCTTTCGTATCATTTTGAAGTTCACATACAATTTTGGGGACTTACGTATGAGCACGGCCGACCCGAGAGTCGACCATGGTACGTGCATAGTAGGTGTGCGCGGCGTGGGGGCAGGGGTCCGTTGGAAAAGGATTTATAAGACATATGGCTCAACATAAAATTATTTGTATTTGTTAATTGCATTGTTATTGTAAAATTGTATTCTGCCTGTATGATCTATTTACTTGCAACTAAAATATGTCGGATGTAAATAAACTAGAGACACTACAACAGCACGGAATTCCTCGCACCTATAACGGTTACGTAAAATTATAATACCGCAATTTCTGTCCATATTAACACATCTCAGTCAACACCTGTTCTCACATCCTGAAACATCGTCCAACAAAGAGAATCTATTCTGAGAATTTCAAACTGCCGTGACACGGCATTATCATTGTTGTATTGCAGAATGATAATTCCTGAAAGATTCTAGCAAAATATGAGCGAGATATTCGAATTATCTAATTCAAAAATTCGCTAAACTACGTATATTTTTTGAAAAATTGCCCCTAAAATTCTTCAAAGAACTGTTTTTTGGAACAAATTTCATTTAACAAAGTCGCTTTCATCATCAATGTACATTTGCAATTTTAGTAAATACAGAGACTTCGCCGAAAATTCGCCGGGACTAAGGGGCCTATTCTCGAAATTCAAATGCACTTTTTCGCATATGAGATGACGTCAATTCGCATTCGAAACGCGTCGTTGGGTTCTAGATATTCGTATTCGAGAAAATTCGAAGAGTTTGCGTTCAATTTCACTCAAATGATACCCCATCATTCGGATTACAAAATCGTATTCGATTTAATGCTTTGATATTAAATGTCATATCTTGATCTTAGATTAACAAGTTACGTAAATGGATAATTTCGATGAAATATCTATTTTAGCAGCTACAGAAAATGCTGAATTGCAGCCGGACGCTGTTGAACATGGTACACGAGTATTTGTTATAGATACGATCCGTTCAAAATATCTGATTGAAAGTTTGTTAAATAGTGTGTCTTAGTAAATAGTTAAATTTAGTGTCTAAAGACATTGCCAACGTCATATTTTCAATACAAATCAAATGATTCGATTGTGACTGAAAATTCAAATATTTGATTGTTATTCCACCTATACCCATATACATTGCAAACATATATTATAATTTATTGCTGTGTTCTCTGAGAGTATTTTACTTGTTGAGCGATGTGTGTGCCTGAAAACTATTTTGTGTGGTTTCGTTCACCAATATATTGGTACTGCAGGCCACTAGTCTACGTATATTACTAATTTCCCGTGCGCACGAAAATTGAAACAATTCTAAGCAGTCTCCGGCTTTGCGAGGTATGTCAATATTTCGCTAGAGAGGGGAAAATTTACATTGCAAGTTTTTCATGCGCGCAGAAATTGTAAGAATAAAACTTCAGCTTCAGGCCATGTGAGATGAATCTACGGTTTAATTAGTTCCGCAGGAATCATAGAAACGTGATCTGGAGTAAAAAACAGTCACTAAAGGCGTTTGTGACTCAAGCTTTATCTCTGATACGTGTGGGTCAGAATACTTTGGTCCATTTTGTAGATTTATAAGACTAGAAAGGTATAAGATATTAACAATAATGTTTTGTTGTTTGTTTTTTTTACTCAAAGGCATAACTAACATGTCATAGTCTCCAGCTAAAAACTCTCATCTTTACTTGACCTGGGACGTCCAATTACTCAATATTGTTAAATATGTCTAAAATGCAACTATGAATGAGATTATGATGCAACTGTTTGAAAAGTTTCAGAAAAAATGTAAATTCATTGGTAAATACCTATTAACTAAAGTCGAATAACATAAAAAACTCACTTAGGTCGCATAAACGGCATAAAAACAATATCTCTATAACTTTTAGATTAACTATAAATTTTCCATGGCTGCAAAGCGACTCAACTCGTTTCTATTCTTGCCTCAATTGCCATTTTATTTCGTAGAAAAATAAAAATGGATATATTAAGCATTCATTTGTTTTGCCTACATTATTGTGCAAAATTATGGAGTCTCTTGCACAACCAACAAAACATACAAACATTTGATCATTGAATTCGTTTGCTACTTTTAATCTAGAACTTTGGACAACTGTTTCAAGAAGGAACACTTGATTCATATATTGGAATTTATAATGTATATTTGTTCTCGTTAAATGAATTTTTCATATTCGTTCTACTTGTTTGTTGTGTTTTTAATAAATTTCTGTATTTTCGATCAAGAGAAATCTCGTAATCACTTCCGCTTATATGTTTTATTATTTGTTCAATACCGTTTTATTATTTGAAAATATTTATATACAATATTTATATTTAAAGCAGATTTTCTGTTTGCTTTATTTATTATCTTTCTAATCAAGTTTGTAATAACATGTAAAGGAAATAATATGTAACTAGAATATAGTGCGCCTAGTACGACTGAAATATTAGAGCTGATCGATTAAAAATGTGCCAGTAATTTGATTAGCATATCATTAACGGAACTCTTTAAGAATCTTTATTACTAAAAGAGAAAAAATAATAACAATTCGTATATGGAAAAGAACCGTTTTATTATAGTATTAATTTTACAATAAATAAAAACGTTTACAAGGTTTAAAATTAATATACTTAATATAAAAAAATAGATATAAAAAACATAATATTCTGTGTAATATTTTAAAGCGTGTATTGGTTCTAGAATTTCATGAACGGGGTGGAGTTGGGAGGCGGAAAGCTAAATTAATTTTGTATCTCGCGGTGCGATTTTAATTGGGCCTTTGTTCACTTCGCACTTCTGAAAAAGATGAAAACAAAAATTCAAAATTCTCCGCCAATACTCTATTTCACACAGAATTCGTAGAATTTTTGTGCTGAAAGTGTAGGTTAATTGTTTTTAATTAGAAATTTGTACACATTGATCCATGTAATCTGTCTTTCAGGAAATAGTTTTATAAGCCAAATTAATTGTTTACTGTTATTAATTGAATTCTCGTATATAAGTTCTGAAAATTTAGCGCAAGTACTTCTTTTCTGCGTATTTTGCCGGGGAGGGTGTGGTAATAAAATTTACAAAAAAGATCTATTAGTTTACGTAAATCGATGGTAAAATTTTAGCAACACATTCTCAATAGTTGCGACTTTTCGTAAAAGAAATATAAGAAGCTGATAAATTTTGACTTCTTTCCGTCATTTTAACAAATTTCTAGTTACTTTCTGTAATAAGTGGCTTTAGAATCCGGTAAAAGACGATTTCGTCTTGTATGTGATTTAATTATCTCAAGACGCCTAAATTTGGGCTTCGACATACATGTTACAAAGAATTTTGCGAAAGAATTATAAAATATAGCGTTCCAGGAGAATCTCACCGATGCGGCACCTTGCTGGAGAGAGTGCATCTTGAAACCGTAAATTGCATACTAATCACAAATGTTGGAAATGTTGCTCCCATCACTTGTTTCCAAGTGATCTGGTTTCTAACAAATATAAATGCAATTTTTAATAGGAAGCCTTGATTCGGCTCGGTGCTGTGGGATTTTTTTGGCGCAGTGTAGTACTTGCTTGTTGAATAACGTGAGCGTTGAATAACAAACGTGAAAACAGTTCTAATAACGCGAAGGGGGAAAACGTAATTTCAAATGAGAAGTCACTCAAATATATTTTAATCAGACTGTACGTCGGCTATTATGTGAGGGTATTGTTACTGCAAAATAATCTGTTTCACTAATATTCTAACAAAATCGTAATATAACCACAGGGGGTTTTTCTTAGCGTTGGCTTCGGGCTTCAGAAGTCTCGATGCAGCTGGATCAGCTACAACTCTAAACAACGTGCCGGTCAGAGCTCAACGAAGGATAGTACACAACTTTACTACACGTTTTTATTCTGGTCAAAATGATGCACCAGGGTCACGTACAGCCCAAATTCCAAACAGATGTCTTGTGACTTATCTTGCATTGAACTTTGCGAATGACGTTAATGAATGACATTTTCACGGAAAGAGAGGTATTATGTTGGAATGCATACTCATGTAGACAAATTATAAGCGCTAAATACGCTAGCCTACTTTTACCAAATTACACAGAATACCATTAAAGAACACTATAGACAATGCTATACTATATGTCACCAATTTCGTGGAACGAAGAAGTGAGAGACAAAAACAAAAATTCCTGGCAATGAGTTTAATATAACTATCAAAAGTGGTGGAAAATTCCACCAATTTATCTTGTACATCTGCAACAGAGAAGGTGGAAAGGATGATCATTCTCCAGTGAGGTGGGTTGGGGAGGGGGAGGGGCTAGCAGAGGTTGGGGAAGCGCGCGTCGCGGGCCGTGGCGGAGGGGCAGGCGGAGCGGGCTGTACCCGCCTTGTACACCGGCTGCTTCAACATGTTGCCGCCAGGGCCGTAGTTGCACACGTAGTACTTCTTGCACTTGTTGCCGTCCTGGAAGAGCGAGAAGCCGCAGCCGACGCGGTTGGTGTTGGCCCACACCACCTGCGTGTAGTGGCCCGTGCCGCTGGCGCCTCTGCAACACGTCAGCCCCGACATCAGGAAACACTTCTAGACCGTATCAGAGGTTTGATTTGCTTTATTCTCCCCCCCCCCCAATAGTAAAGATTGTTTGAAGGAGAAATACAATGTGTGCATGCCTTCTTGAGCTCCTAAATCCCTTTTACTGTATTGGGTAAAGAAAGGACGTACCAAACTAACAAAGTGAGGTTAACAACATTTGAAAACAAACATTTTCGGTCATGAGTTATAAAAAACTAATTTGCATCTGTTTAACGAACTACTGATATGTTGTTTTAGTATTGCTAACAAAATAGGGAGCAGGCTCTACTATAACCATTAGCTGAAGGCAACTAGCAAAATGAGAGCCCAATAAAACGTGCACATAGTGGACGCACATTTACAACCGGAAACAAACCCAGGAGTATTTCCTCAATGGATCAGAAAAACTGGACTAAAAACGTGAACGAGGTGAGCATTCACTGATCCAGAAGCTGAAATTTAGGGTCTACTTGGGCCTAAACCATTCCTAGTTGTAACTATTTTTTCGCTGTTAATTTTGTCAAGTATCATTACTTAGCTTTTAATAACTATAGCTACAGTTATGAATTCTCTCTGGCAATGCATGAAAACTTTCCTTTTATAGGTACGTGGCTGCTCGAAATGCACGTTTTAAATAGCCTTTTAAACAAAAAATGTCATAGATTTGACAGGCGGTAATACATATTAGCGCTTAATGCACAGAGATTGGGAGAGTGTTTTAATTAGTTTTCGGCGTACAATATTCCAAAGAATTAAATGTGCCTTTCATAGATGTGAAGTTTTGCGTTTCTTTCCCTTAAAATGTTAAGCTTTGCAACAAGGCAAGCTATTGAGTTCTTCATGAAATTATCATTTACTCTTCTCTCTTATCGAAACGAACGAGAGAAAAACTGCTAACGTCCGCGGAAACATGACAAATCACAACTGACCTGCGAGCGGAATGGCGTTGTATTCATAATCACAAACTTTTAAGGCTCAGGGACGCTTTGCTATACGTATCACGACAAGGCTCAACGTTAGTGATTAAGATAAAACATTCTTGAGTCTGTACAAAGCATAATTTCCAATGCATGTTATTCCTAAGAACTTTTTTCTCCAAACACTTTTGAATTGACTTTTGTAGCTGCACTAGGCTGACGAGACTCGACCTTCACGATTAATATAAAACCATTATTGTGGCTGTCCACCGTAAAAATTCAAACGCATTTGTACCCAAATAATTTTTTAATTAATATAAAAGCGCAATGCTAATTTGAACTTAAAAACAAAATACCCTTGTTCCTACTACTCATTCTTCACTTTGGTTGATCGATCTAGCGTCGTCAGTCGTGATTGTGATTAGGGAAAAGAAACCTATTCTTTCAGTGCTCACTCACACAGTATATGCTTCCCGAAACAAGGCCGAATTCTACCCGTATCCTACATGATGATTCGTTTCATTCTGATAAATGGTCGCGATAATAGAACACTCAATGCTACATATTTCTCCAATAACTAAAATAAATGCAGTGCATGAAAATACTATCTAAAAGAGATTGTTTGTCCGCATACCGTCCTAGTGCACAAGGAAAATGATATTTCAAAAGAATTAATTTTGCAGGATGACGATATCCTGAGTCAAACCGTTTATTTTTTTAGATCCAAACATCAAATTTCACTCGACTACTGCTGTAACAAAAGAGTTATCATTTTGATGTCTCTAGACGATGTAAAAAAACTCCTTTAAGAGTTTTTATCTTCAAACCACTTAGTGTTATGCAGTCATATTGCTCACTTACTTGAGGCTACCAACGGAGTTCTTGTCGAACTGAGCCACTTCATTGTACCAAGCTAGAATGGCTTCTTCCCAGTATTGCTTGCTATCCATGGATGAGCACGGCCACTGGATTTTAATATAGAGGTTCTGTCCCACGTAGTAACGAGCTAGAGACGCAAAGAACTACTATCAAATGCACAATTCCTAAATAGATACAGGAAGAGAGAACTTGATATTGTTTTCAACTGTTCAAACATTCTCAAAAATTGTTCAGTTTCATTCAAAATTTAAAAATTTATTTAATAAAGATAATTATTCTAATGTACAGTTTTTAAGAACTTTATCAGATTTTTTTATATTTAAAAAAATGTAACAACCATATACTTATGTAAATGAAAAATCTTGGGATAATGATAATAAATAATTCGACAGCACACTTACGCACGTTCCTGCAAGCGTCATGTTGGTAGTTGCACTGATCTGCCCAGCGTTGAGCTACTTGCGCCAGCTCATCGTCCCATGTCTGGAAAGTAAACACAGGCCAAGTATGTAGTTGTTATAAGAAGGAACAGTTTTCTAGTTCGTCTAATTTCGAAACAGCCCGAGTCGGGCTTTGACCTGACATCCGGATACTCGTTGTACTGAGTGATGTTGTGGAATGGAGGAACAGACCATAGCCAGGCTCTAAGAATGAGGAAAGGAGGATTGTGGGCTGTCCTCGGTCCGTTCTTCAACCCTCGAAAATATAAGAAGGCGACAAATGTAATCCTGTGCCGTTATTTTTCATTGTCGTATACATGCGTATACGACATATAAGTCTGATATTCACAAAATAGAATAAATTATGTAAAGCTGCGGCGAAAAGTACCGTTTTTGCGACAGAGAACTCTTTTTGTGGCTCCCTGACACCTTAATAGGGGTTTCTTACTCCCAAATGTAGTAAGTTAAGTTTTCTAATAGCGTAGTCAGGATCCATGTTTTGGGATCCCCTGACGTCGGAAAAGTTGTTTCTTTCGAAATGTCCTTCCGTCCGTCGGTCTGTGAAAAACATTTGCGCCTAAACTATTCGTAGGATTTTTACCCAAAATGAATATAAACCGATGGATCTGGACCAATTCAAAGCCATGCCGTTTTGAAAATATGAATTTTGGCGGTACTTCACAAGAAGCCTCTAGGAAACTTTCAAAATTTTCCTTAAAAGTGTCCCCCATTTTTCCCCGTTAAATTTCTTGTTAGAATAGAGTGAAATACATTTATAAATACGTCCGAATTTCATTGTCAACTCTGTATTTTCGAAAATTACAAACGTTTTAACGTCTTCCTTCCACTACAGTATTGAATATAGATTTTTTCTTCATATGAAATGTGTTCTCCGTAATTAATTTTTTAATAAGTGTAGGGATTTTTCTATTAAAAATGTGTACATGACACTGAAATACACATTCAGCGTAATTTTGAGTAAAACGTGCGCAATTTTCAAACTAAGATTTTCTCAAAATTGGCTCTTAATATTTGTGTTGAAAATGTTATGAAAATGTTTAGCAAAATGTCAACCAAGCTATATAACGAATGCCGACATTTTCGCAACATCGGAACTTGATCCCAAGGGCCACCCGGTCATGGTCGCTGCAGACACAAACTATGAAAATAACTTTGATGATACAACATCATAATTATGTTTTTTGGGGTGCCCTTATTGCATATCCCATCTAAATAGAACATAAATCTATTGAACTAGTTATAAATTGCCACTTCTAAGTAGCTGTGATGAAACTTGAAAGACACGTAATTTTGGAGCAATTCCTGATTATGTTGAATGTGGAGGTGATGTCCACAAAACCACGTATGCAAATGAAAAACATCAAGTTATTGAAAGTGGCTCTTAATATTTTTAATGAAAATGTTTGTACGGATAATACTAACTGCACTGAATAACATTACATTCACGCCATTTTCACTTTTGACTTTTTAAAAATTGTACTAGTGGGCAATACATTGCAGGAATGTTTGGTACATTATTGCCTTGTGAGAACAAGCGATTTATTATGAAGTTTTAAAAAGCTGAAAACTTCTGAGAAAATAAGCTCAAAATTGCGCATTTTCATAAACCCTCAAATGAAATTTACTCAAAAATGACCCCAAAATTTTCAATTAAAATTTGCATATAAGTTCAGGTTTACTCTTCTATAATATTCTTGATAACATATTTAATTTTCACTATTAGGGGACTAAAATATCAGAAAATGTAAAAAAATAAACGTATTTTAGACAAGCTGAGGCTATTAGACGACAGATGGAAAGAGGGCAAGGTAAAACCGAAATTCTAGTCCAGATGCAAAAAAATATGAAAATAGTACGAGAAAGTCTGTGCCATTCTAGTCAACTAGTCTATATATCTACTTGTATCATTGACTATTTTATTTCGCCCAAGACAATGTTCCTTTTGACACTGGAATTATTTTAGAACAACTTTGACAAATCGCATTTTGTGGGGTACACGACAAATGCTGTGGGGTACACGACTGGGTAACAACAATGTCTTAATTTATGGTAGTTTTATCAGGATTGTTAGTGATTGCTCCCGATGCAAGCTGAAAAAAATTTTTAGGGTACGTTATTGTACGGAGAATGCTTTTCATGAAAACGTTGCAGTGTTTGAGTTTTATAAGAATGCCATAAATTCAGAAATTTGTCTAAGCAAAATTTTGCTAGCGTTATGTATAGAAAAAAATGTCTAAAAAAGTGCTACCTACCTATTTTAAACATTAAAATTTTGCTTTTAACTTTATTATCTTATGCATGGTAAATCTGTAAAGAAATTACTAAAATCGTTGTAGTATGGATGTAGGTCCCCTTGTATGATCGAAGTTGTCAAATATCTTCGATACACGCACGTTAAGCTCCAGTATCCACCTCGAACTGATAGCAGGAAACTATGGGAAAGTCCGAACAAAGCCCCCTGCCTCTAGGATTCTTAACCAGGAACCCATTTTAATACAGTGTATTTTTGTATTTTCATACAAATCAAACGGCAACATATTCTGCTTGTAGAACACTCAGCACACAAGTGAACTAGTAAGAGGTGTAGTGATCATCATGCTCAGTTTTGTTTGTAAGTTTCAGAGTGCTGCACAAAGGTGGTGAGAGCTGAAAAATAGTATTGTGCGGTTCTTTCTTATCTAGTGCGTCATGCTTGACGCCCGTGACAATGAGCAACCCGGACAACCTTATCTCGCGGCCATGACGACAGTTGGTGTATGTTTCTTGGGCCGAAACAAAAAAATGGGCTGTTATATGAGTCATATTTATTCGAATTATGATTCTTTCTCTCTATAGTTTGAGCTTGAAACGTAAAATTTGTTGATGTCTCATCCAGACTACTAAAGGAGTAAGTTTACAGTGTTGAAGGACGAGGATTATTGAACATTAAATTACGTTCATAAATTCAAATTACGAAACTGAAGAGTTGACAGTATAGGATTTTCAGCCTATTGTCTCACTCAGTCGGTATAAGAATGTTTCATTGCTTGATGTTTTCGCGAACGTCAATTGCAATGGTCATTAGTCCCGTTAGTATAGTAAATTTCTACCCCGGGAGGTGGCGATGTTCTTCTGAAACGTAATATCTGTCCTACACGTCGGCTTGCGCAGTTTCCCTCGTGGTGTCTCTCGTAGTGGGACACCACCGCTTCTCCCGAAACAACCTCTAAGCTCTCGACTGGTCTCCCAGCATGGGTAATGTAGTGAGTGTAAGTATAAATGTGTATCACTAAAAGGCGAGGATAGGACAAGGAAGAAGAAGGAAAGATCGCACGCACTCTGTAGTCCATTTGTTAGGATATTTTTCCGACATTCCCTTGGTATTGATTGTATAAATCACAGAAAACTACCGATCAGAGCAGTCAGTCGCTAGAATTTTCCTCCAGACAGCAGCTGAAATCAACCTAGCTATATAATTAATGTCGACAATTTTCCAACGTGGGAACTCGAACCATATTCGCAGAAAAGTAAAAGAGCGGGGGAAAGGATTCCGGAGATGAAGGAAATGTGCCCAGATTGAACTTCGTTCCATTTGGCGCACGTCGTTTTTAACTGTTCTTGAGGCAAAACATATACAAAGAGGACGAACGAGAAATGGATAAAGTGAGGTGGAAGATTTGTGGAAAGTTTTGTCATAGAATCTTTAACGTTAATAATTATAATTACTAATATATTTATTTTTAAAGAATATTTACTTTCTATTTTTTATTTTTTACTTTTAAAAATATTTATTTTACGCTTTTATGTAAGCGGAGGAGTACTCACCATGCGCAGCATGTTGGCCGCGGGTGGCTGCGGACCCGGGCTGCCACGCGTCTCCTTGCCCTGCGCGATCTGGTTGCGCAGCTTGTTGTGCACTTCGACGATGGCGCCCTGCTGGTCGGCCGGCACGCCGTGCTCCCAGCGGCCCGCGCGGCACGCCGACGACACGCCCTGCCCGACACATGCACACGCGTCAGGGCAGGCCAAACATACGAATCGCTATCGATAAGGGTGAATGGACAAGCGAGGGAAGAAAGCAATATGGGATGGGGAAGGCTTTGTCTTGGAGACTTTAACGACTATAATACTAATAATAAATATTATATATTTTTATATAATTACATACAATATAATTAATATATAACTAGTTACCTGTAGCAGCAAAAATACTTCTGAACAAATCCAAAACAAATCTCTAAAACACTATAAAAAGTTTAATATTTAACAAAAACAGACTTCACGAATACTCCAAGAACATAATTTAGTAAAAACACAGTACCACTTTTCTTCAATTGCCAATGATATAAAAAAGTCTTTTTTTTTCATAACGCAACTCGTGAGTAGCAAATTTTTATTAGCGGTTGGTCACTTCCTCGGAGTCTTACTGTCACATGACGTCCTTTGTGTAATAATCAGAGGCACAAAATCACTGTCACGCACAGTCGCAAAGTCACACTCAAAGACAATTCAGTCGATACGCGCAGTTGGTCACAAATGTGGAATAACACACTAATATTTGCATTTTCTGTTAAATCAAAACTTTAATTGTATTTTTTCCGAGTTTCTAGGTATCTAACAAAACCATAGAAGCCTCGCGGATGGTCGTACGTTGCATAGTGTTCTTCCAGTTTTTGCGCGCATTGGAAAGTAGTAATATACCCGTACAATCATCATTTCATTTATACTCTTAGTTATATTTCTACTAACTTTTATAATTAACAGCTTGGTAATTTGAAACCATTGCCTTTTTTCAATGTATCGTGTTGCATTGTTAATATTCTTTCACCACAATTTCTAGCCCACAGTAATTTTACTTCATAGTGCAAGTTTTATTTCTCTTGTTATTTTTTGCATGGTGACGTAGGCACCACTAACAGTTTTTACTCAATCCTTGTATTAAAATATCGATGTTTTTCTGTAATTTAGCTTAGCTTATTAATCAATTATTATGCTTAGCTTTGTCCTTCTATGTAATGCAAATTAAGTTTATAATAATAATAATAATAATAATAATAATAATAATAATAATAATAATAAACTCTTTCGACAACGCTCTTACGGCGTATTGCAAATTTATTCTTTTGAATTACTGTTTGTGAAGTTAATTTTAAAAAATTAAATAGCCAAATACTTGTATGGAAAAAACTTAAAACGCAGTTGTGGTTGTCTTTCAAAAGCTGCTTCTGTGCACGTATGAAATCACAAACAAAAAGAATGAAGTAGGGGAGTTTGGCACATTGATACCCTTTTTGCTGTTTGGGAAGGTTCCATTATATTATTCCGCCAAATTTTCATATTTTTTAAATACATGTAAATTGGTGTCGAGTGTACAATTTAGAATGAAAAAGCACACACCATAGTCATTATTCGCAATATGTACTTCCTTTACCGTTCTGACTTCAAAAGCCCAGATTCCCGTGGAAAGTGTTTTGGTAATTTTCCAGTTTCAGAGACCCGAATCTCAGTTGTAGACTCAGGAGGGCATTTGGCAACACTGCAAATCTGCAACCGATTCTACGGCCGCCGACTGGCGGGCTAAGTTTCTGACGGATAAAATCTGGTGACATCGCAGTGTCGAGTGCGATGGAGGGATGTTTTAATTCCAAGTTTTAACAAATCTTCGTTTTTTTTCGTTATTATTCAAAAAAATATAATCTTCTGGACTTGGGATGAAAGTAATGTTCCTAAGCCAAATCACAAAAGAAACATTTGTTCACTTACTTGCAAAGATCACAGTGGGTTTTTTTTTCGACGTGAAATGATTCACTTAGTATACAAATGAACTCGTTATAAATCCTTGATACATTTAATAGTTTTGGGGTTATTGTCCCACCTTCATCGAATTGCTTTTCTCAATTCCACGATTCTAAACAATGAAATGATGATACCTGACTTTATACCTTGCGTTTGGACAATTGTGGGTTTTTTATTACTCATTGCTACGATCTATTACGATTTAAGCAGTCGTATACTAGAAGTTCTAAAGAGAAAAATCAGCGAAATCAAGCGAGGGATCGAAAGTTTTAATACTTTGCGTAAATTGTTTCAGCTCAAAAAAGAAAAAGAATTTACTCAAAGACTCTTCTTAAAACTCATGACTCGTTTTGGTCTGTTGTATAATGTAAAGTGACATCACAATTAACGATTCAGTTCATGTGACCGCTTTGCAGAATACAGTTTTCTATAGATACCCGATCATCACTTTGACTCGTTATCAACAAAAAGTGAGAGGGAAATGCCTTACATCACCCAACACTAATAGAGCAGTAAATGATCTCTTCTAAAGCAATGGCAAAAGTTCAGATTTTCCCCTTTGTCATTACAGTTCGGTTCTCAACCTATCTCCCGAGAACATCCATTAAAATATATTTGAGGTAAACTGGATACAAGGCTAACAGAAAGAACACGTCTTCAAAAATCAAAGATGCTAATAAAAGATGAGGAATCATTCACTTGACCATCAAAACCTGTTTCATGTAGTTAATCGACAATAGTTTAACCATCTGCTGGATACTTGATTTCTTACGACTATCTTGATTGAGTAATCGTTATCACATTAACAACCTAAAAAATTCATGCATGGCAAATGCTCGTTAGTTTCACAGTTACCTCATTATCCCCAGCGATTTTTCCATTCCTCACTCACAACGCTTGAAAATTACCCCACACATTTTATTACAATATTCCCAATGTATCTGGTTCAATCTAATATAATCTTAGCATTGATTCCTCACAAACGTAACAGCCCTCCGTTTAAAATGTTTTTAACAGTTATGCAGAAATTCTATACTCTTATAACCTATCTTCCCATATTAATACCTCCAATCACTAACATTTTAATCATATACTAGAACTGTATTAATACATCGAATAGAGAGATCAGAAGCTATCCTCTTCAAAAAGTAAAAGCTAAGATGTAAAATTTCCCCGCTCTACAATGGCAGACACATTTACGTTAACATTATATCATGAATCATTTCTTCAATAAATGAATTTAAAACAATAATACAAAGTATTTTCAGTAAAACAGACGAATCCAGAAAATTTTGCAAAGTATGCCAGTATTGCAGCTCCCTAAATATTTTTGAAATGCGGTTTAAAAAATCTTATCATGAAATAAAAAAGCATATTCTTAATGAGAATTCTTCGGTGGATGTGATCAGTAGGTGATACTTTTTTAATATGTTGTGTAAAGTACAAAACAGTTGACCTCCACAAGAACCCTCCACAGTTCAGCAGTCTCTTAACCAGCATGTACAGCTACACGTACGGATTAAGTCTCTTCTTTAAAAAAAGGTTATATATAGCCAGTTCAAAAAAAACTTTTCAGGGGTTCTTCAAATGTAATTACAATTAACATATTTGAAACAAAATAGTCAGCAAACGAAGAACAAGCAAATTGAATCGTATTATAAATAATAAATAATTATATATAATGTATTTTACATTTTACAAGAAATAAAGGCTTATTTTTGTAAAATTTCGAAAGCATTTTTATGTAGGATTTTTACAATTGTTCTAGGACGAATAGAAAACCGTTGTATCGAATTAAAACGACGACAAACTGAAGAGACATGCTGAAATGAGTCTTATTGTTTCGCACATTCACACAACATTCAAAACTTCCACCTGCATGTGTCATTTTTCTGAACCACATGTTCGGGTGATGTTCCTCACCGTGTATCGGCACATGGTGTGAGTGGAGCACAGGTGGCAGTACTCATCCTTCGTAGTGGCCTGGCTCAGCGCGAAGATGCTCAGGAGCAGCAGTGCAGTTGCACTCGCAACACAGACGGTGGCCATGGTGACCTGCGCAGCACAGTGTTTCATACAATACAATGCGCCCTCTCCGCCCTTCTCTT